TAATGCGTCTGTCTAGGGTTTCTAAAGACCTCCTAAAGTGTCCGGGATTCAGCTTTTGGTTTCGCTTTAAGCAGTCATCTTTTTTATTTAAAGCCTGATTAACTTTCGCTTGGCTTCGCAGCTGACATTGTGTGCACAGCTGCAAGAATGAGAGTAACATTATATAATTCATTCTTTGATCTAAACTTTTCTATTTACTCAGAGGGCGAAACTAAACTGGCTGCAAATTATATGTACACATAAAATATATGTACAACCATGCTGCGTTCACACCAGACGCGGAACGCGTGGATAAAATGCGATATTCGCACGAAAATAGCCGCGTGAACATTTGAGTTTACTTGCTGCTTCACACACTCTGACTGAGCCCAGCCCAGTTTGATGAACTTTTTGTCGGTGTCGGTTGATTTCCCCTGGGACTCTAACAACAGGTGTACGTCACAATCACGCCCTCACAGGAGCAAGCTACTGATTGGTTAACGTGGCGCGAATGTCTGCTGAAGTTTAGACTTTTTAAACTCAAGCAGTTCGTGCGTCAAACGTGCAAAACGCATCAAAATTCACGTCAAATGCGCTGCAGGATGTCTATTCGCGCGTTTGCATTGACTTAACATGTAAATCACTCGCGCTTGACACTTATTCCGCGTCTAGTGTGAACGCAGCATTAGAACTGATTAACTCATTTAAATCCACCATTTGTTTTTACCAGAATAAAAAGTGTCGATTTCTTTTTACTTTAAAATAAAATAAATCCTCAACCCATTAAAAAGAAACTGTTAATCGCTCATCACATGTAGGTCACTGTGTGCCGTGGTTAAAAGAGGTTTCAATCTGGCTCACCCTCTAGTATATTTTTAACCTGTGGGGAAGCATTGTAATTGTATTAAATCATTCTTGACAGGTCAAGTGAAAATCTTTCCTAACTTCTAAGAAAGTCCTTCACATTTAGCCCTGAAAAAGTCTGAACTTTTCATTCATAATGATCTTAGGGTGCTTTCACACCTACACTTTTGTTTCGGAACGTATCTGGTTTGCCCAGTTAGCGCGGTTCGATTGGCATATGTGAACAGGGCAATCGCGCTCTGTTCCGTGCCAAAGTAATCGCTCCGAGATCGCTTGAATGAGGTGGTCTCGGCTCGATTGAAACGAACCCTGGAGCGGTTCGATTGCAGTGAGAAAGCGATCCGAGCGCGGTTATATCACAGTGTTTTATGGATATGTAATAGGCTTACGGCTATATGAAGAGAGAATTATGAGTATGGCGGGAAGTTTCGCGAGTCTCCGGATGCCCGCAAACGAGTGATGATCTCCCGGTAATCTTGCGTCTCCCTCCCAGTCCTCAAATAGGCATCGTCGCGCACCCTTCTCACCCCTCCCCACCGCGTCTCTCCTCAGACACGTTGCGCGCGCGCACCCTGTCAATCACCACCAAACCACCACCTCTCCTGACAGCTGAGCGGGACGCTGCAAAATAAACCCTGACACTCTGACCAATGTGAGGAGAGTTTACTCACACGTGACTTGTTTTAGCTCTTTTGGTCCGATTAGAAACTTTGCAGTGTGAAAGTGAACCGCTCCAAGAGCAAAGAGCAACAATGTAACAATTGTAATCTCTGTTTCAGAACAACTGAATCCATTCACAGGTGTGAAAGCACCCTTAATGTTTACTTGGTGAAACCCTGCTTTTAATCTTTAATAAGTCAAATCTTGCGATGTGACTATTACAGATACACACTCTGGGATATCAATGCTCGAACAGTATATTCAGCTCTATGAGAGGATGTGAATGACTTTATTGTATATGTCGGGTGACTTAACTGTCTTTTCCTTCCCAACAGTCTAAATCGTGGAGGTGGTGGCATGAACAGAAACCGAGTCGGAGGTTTTGGCATGCAGAAGGGTCGCGGAGGCCGAGGTGGAGGATCCAGAGGTCGGGGACGAGGCGGTCGAGGAGGCGGCGGCGGCAGCAAGCAACAGCTCTCGGCGGAGGAGCTCGACGCCCAGCTAGACGCCTACAATGCTAGGGTGCGTGTTAGCTTGTTTAAAGATGCTTTAAGAGCACCTATTATGTAAAAATCATAATTTTTAGGGAATGCTTTTGAAATAAAAGCAGCTTCTAATGATATGAGTGTTTAATGTTGTTTTTTTTGAGTCACACTTGATTATAAACAGTCTGCAGAAACACTTTGATTGACATTTTCACTGTATGATGTCATCAGAGTGGGAAAGCTCCGCCCACTAGTGACTATCTCTTATTAGCATAAAACTTTAGTCTTGTTTCTGCCATTATGCTGACACGTAGGTGTTTGTAGCTCCGCCCTCTTTTGAAAAAGAGCACAATCTCATTTGAATTTAAAGTGACAGTCACCAAAATGCCACATTTAGGATCAGAGGGCCAGTTTAAAGACTTGCAAAACATTATTTGTGTGTGATTTTGAGCTGAGAGTTCACACTTTAGGGATATGCCTTTTCATGAATAACAAAGACTTAATTCTTTCTTTACAGATGGACACCAGCTAAATCTCACCGCACCGAGCCGCATTCCCCACTGTTACCACATTGGAGGGTGGTCCTCATCATCATCGTTGTTATAGCTTTGAACATGCCGGATGTTTTACACTCGCGTCTTCAGATTTAAATTTGTGTATCGATCTTTCTCCTTTTAAAATGCTGACGTGTTTTTTACCTACTTTGTTTTATTTGTTTTTCCTTTCTTTTTGAGAAAAAAACCTGGTTGGACTGTAGGATTTGGGGGATGGAGTTCTCTCCACCCCGTCCCTGTGTAGATCATTGAAATAAAACCTGCAGTGTTTAGTAAACCACATGATGTCTCTGTGTCTTGCTTGGCTACATGAGGGTTTGCTTTTCAGTCTTGCACAATCTGCTGCGAAGGAATCCATTAGTGCAGTGTTTCTCAACCACCTTCCTGGAGGATCACCAACACTGCATGTTTCGGATGCCTCGATTGTCTGACACAGCCATTCCTGTAGTCCCTGCTGATGATCTGAATCTGATTTGCTTGGTTAAGGCAGGGGTGTCCAAACTCTGTCCTGGAGAGCCGGTGTCCTGCAGATTTCAGCTCCAACTTGCCTCAACACACCTGCATGGATGTTTCTAGAAAGCGCTTTATTAGCTAGCCCAGGTGTGTCTGATAGGGGTTGTACTAAACCTTGCAGGACACCGGCCCTCCAGGATGGAGTGTGGACACCCCTGGGTTAAGAAGACATGGTAAATGCAGAGCTGGTGGTCCTCCAGAAACGTGGTTAAGAAACACTTCAGTAGTGTGTGTGAATTATAGACTGAATCGCAGGTGTCAAACTCAGTTCCTGGAGGGCCGCAGCTCTGCACAGTTTGCTTCCGATCCCAATTCAACACACCTGATCAAACTGAGTGCTTTAGGGGTGTCCAAACTCAGTCCTGGAGGGCCGGTGTCCTGCATATTTTATTTCCAACCCCAAATAAACTCCTGAACCAGCTAATCAAGGTGTATTAGAAACTTCCAGGCAGGTGTGTTGAAGGAAGTTGGAGCTAAACTGCAGAGTTTGGACACCCCCGTTTTAGACTGAACTCTGCAGAGCTGCAGCTCTCCAGGAACTGAGTTTGACACCACTGCTGTAAATGGCAATGAGTGCATTACTCATGCCAGCCACTAGGTGTCCATCTTTGCATTTAACATCGTTCAAATAAACAGGTGAGCAATGATTTAGGTTTTATTTGGTCATGAGTAGACTTGTAAATACACAAGTTCCAGGTTTCTTTGTCTAACATGCACCAAAGGAAAACAAATCTTAACATGCGGTGTAACACTCCAGCCTGTAGGCTAACAATGCAGAGATCATCAAAGCAACTTTAGAGACCGATATTTTCAGTTTTGCTTTATAAATTGAGGAACCATTTAGTTGTCTTGGCCAGTTGTACATGAAACCCTTTTCAAGTGCTTTGCAGGGGTGTCACACAAAAACTGCAAACTATTTCCTAAAAATTGGAAGTGGAGGATTTTCAGCCTATAATATTGTGATGTTAACATACTGTAAGCTTGGTAACATCCATTTTGACTAATGTTTTAAACCGAAAGAGTGTAGTGCTTCCCACAGGTTTAAAATATACTTGCAGCGGTAGCAGGATTGAAACCCCTGTTACCCCCAGCACACAAATAGTTAACTGTATACAACAAACAAAACATGGTTTCATTTTTAACTCTATTATTGGTTTAAAACTTGAACTTTTCAATGTGTTAAAGTACAAAAAGCTGCACCCACTGACAGGTAAAAGCTCTCATTCGAGTTCAGGTTGCTTTATTGGCGTGACATTTTGTACAGTATTTCCAAAGCATTTTAGATATGTATAAAATATTTAATATATCGCCATTAAATTAATAAAATGTGGCAAATGGGAAATAAATGACAGATAAAAAGGAATAAAAACAGACAATGTCTCATAAAATTAAAACAATTACAGGAATAAAATGTATTTAAATAAGACAAATGAGCTGATTAGCCATTTCCAGGGCCAGACGGAATCTGCGGACGTTTTTTTTTTTCTATTTCTGCGGAGAATTTTGGTTTCAAGAGTTCACACTTATATACTGTTTGACAACTTGTTAGCAGGTTTGGCATGCTGTCCTGGGAGAGAACCCTGAGCTCGGAGATAGTTGAGCCCGGGGCTCCCGCCAGGTCCATAAAGCATGAGGGGAGTACGAGATCAGGGGCCTCATGTACGAAGACTTGCGTGGAAATCTTACTAAAACATTGCGTACGCACAAAGCTGTAAATGTGCGTACGCAGAAAAAAATTCAGATGTATGAAACACTGCGTACGCCGAATCTCACGCATATTCTTTTGTACATCCGAATGAACGTGAAACTGAGCGCAACATGCACGAGCACAAAACCCCTCCCTGCCTCCTCCCCCGTATGAATATGCTAATGACTATGCTAACGGCAAAACCCAACGAAAAAGCAATGGCAAAATCAAGCAAAAAGAGAAACTTTGAACAGAATGTGAATTGGAGGTGCTGCTTTCGGAGGTAGACCGGAGAAAAGCGGTGTTATTTGCAAGTTTGTTCTCCGGAATTAACAACAAAAGAAAAAAATAGAGTGGGAGAGTTTAGCTGATACGGTTAACACAGTTGGGTCTGAACATCGCACTGAGTGCATTTAAAAAAGAAATAGTGTGATTTATATCTGTAAAATGTTGCAGAACCCTTAGCAGTCTCAGTGGCGCACCTCATAAAAAGCATGTGATCATGTACTGACACGTTCGAGCAAAAACTCGGCTCGAATCCAGCGTCTGTCGAACTCTTTCTTCTTTTTTTCCCGCTACATATCAGATTTTGCCCACTATTTATCACGAGAAAGACAAGTAGGAATCATCAATAAGTTTGTGCATCATATTTTATTTGCACATTTATTGAATGGAAATGTTTCTGATTCACGCATGCAAATTCATCTTCAGATAGTGTCTTTATAGCAATGTGCGTGCAGTAGATCGCTCAGATTACATTGGGAAAACAGGCGACCGCTGCAAATTGTGCTTTAATGTTTAGCTGGTCAACTGTATGGTATGGACATCTTACATACCTACTAGATGAACCCGTCTCATACAGCTGCCATTGCAAGGATCAGACACTTTGTAGAGAAGAATTTAACACAACTGCCTCTAGGAGTCGCCAATGGAAATAAAACAGACACGCACAAAAAATGTGCGTACGCCTGCCAGAAAGCTGCCGTGAACCTGCGCACATTCCCACGTTCAGTTCATTGTTAGTAAATCCAAACGTGAGCGATTCTGAGCGTAAAACTTGGCGTACGCAAAGTTTTTGCGCGTACGCAGCGTTGATACATGAGGCCCCAGGTGTTCTCGAGAGCTCCCCTCGGCAAAAGAGGAAAGGAGAAGGGGTGGATGGGGGGTTTCTACGGAAAACGAAGATAAGGGAGTAGTTCTTAGCTAGGTTACTTATAGTGAGTTTGGATCAATCCGATTGGCTAGCCAATGAGTGTAGATGAGTGGCCAGCTGCAGTCAATCATATCACGTGCTCCTCTCGACATTAGTTTGTGAAACTTCATGAAAATCTGCAGATTTCAGCGGAATTATTTTGGGAGTATCCAGCGGAGTATCATGACTAAAACCTTAATATACGAAATAAAAAGTAATAAATTACTGAATAAATTCAGATTTACACATTTACTCTTGCAAATGAACAGGATTAATGATGGGCTAAACATCTGCGGAATTCTGCGCGCGCAGATTCCTCGTGGGCCGTGCCATTTCTAATGGTGAGCAAATATTCTGCAGCCAATTTAGATGTCATTTCGTCTATTCGGTAAAGTCATTTAGATTAAAGAATTAATTATTTAAATGTCTCTCTCGCGGTTGTGCGCATAAAATTATTAACAACTTAGAAAACGAAAGCAAACTCAAATCTCGGACATTTTAGTAGATTTAGAAAAGCTGGCGCAGTAGGTAGCGCTGTCGCCTCACAGCAAAAAGGTCGCTTAAAATGTTGGGTCAGTTGGCGTTTCTGTGTGGAGTTTGCATGTTCTCGTGGAGAACGCGTTCGCGTGGACTCCAGTTTCCCCCACAAATCCAAACAGGTGGTACAGGTTTAAGTAGGCTAAATTGTCCATTTAGCGTATGAGTGTGTATGGATGTTTCCCAGGGATGGGTTGCAGCTGGAAGGGCATCAGCTGCGTAAAACATATGCTGGAAAAGTTGTCAGTTTATTCTGCTGTGGCAACACATGGACTAAGCCGAAAAGAAAATGAATGAATAAATAGAAACGCCGGCCAGGCGCAAAAAGGTGCGAGTCTCTGTGAGTGTTGACAGAATGTGCAGTATGAAACGGGTAAAGTAGATTTTCTACTACTTATTCGCTCGCAGATGTTCGTTTATATTGGGCGGATACAAAAAAAAGGGTGATAATGACAGTAAAAAAAAAAAAACCTGTCGTCAAATATACTTGGGCGGTCCACCCAAGTAAAGTCTATGGGTGGGAAGCAAGCGGCAACCTCCCGCTCTCCCTCAGGAAGCCAATACGGAAGTAACTAAAACTGCAATTCATCCGAAATTCCGCTAGTCCTGGCCGCTCCTGGCTCCAAAACAGAGCAAATTTCAATTGAGCCCACTGTTAGAATGGCCAACTTTACAGCAGAAAAAAAGGTGTTTACAGCCTGGTACAAAAAAAGATTTTGGTTAATACAGCTAATATTACCCTTCATGACAACTGTGAGGGGGGTGAATTTTTTATAACTCATCCGTTTCCTTTATATTAAGTTATATTAAGTTTGCATAATTAAGGGAGTGACCACTTGAGTGACAGCTAGGTCTTGTTGGTCGCCGTCACGTCACCTCAGCTGACTCCTGCAGATTAGCCACTGAACTCGGCATATTTATTGTATTTCTGTGTTGTCTTATGTGGCTTTACACAGTCGACTGCCTTTTGGACTTGTTTCCCACAATTATTAGATGGCATGGCATGCTGAGGGCACTTAATTGTGCTCACAAACCATTCACGTGGCCTCCGTTTCCCATGTGAGTAAAGTTATATACTTATATACCATCTCTATACATGTGTTTGTTTTATTTAAGATCATTTATCATTTATATTTAGAGCTGTAATGCACTGCAGAATCTGTCAGATTGATTAGCTGAAGGCTCTAGATCAGTCATCTGAAGTGTTGTCATACAGTGTTAAGCTGGATTTCATCAATAGTCTTGCATTAACTAACACAGACTATATCTGAAGTGTTTGGAAGTAATTCGCGTTTTCCTCCTGTTGTCATAAGAACAATGTTTAGTGGCTCAATGTATTACAGCAGTGTTT